ATTGCCGCAGGCTGGCTGCTCTGGAAAGCCATCACACAGACACAGATTGATGATCAGCTTGACCAGCTGGCACGTAAGATACTTGCTGTGATTGCCATAGTCTAGTTTGTACTGACAATGTATCTGGAAACCGTGGACTCATGCATGAGATGCAAACCACTCCGCAGCTGACCGTGCCAGCTGGAGAATCTTGCCTTATTTGCATGCCATAGGCGATTGGCTGCTTTGAACAGCCACAGCACAGGCACAAGTTGCTGATCAGCCTGGTCGGCTGGTATTGTAAAATAGTAAGCTGTCGTAAACGGCGCTCACTGCAGTGGAATTGGAAACAGTGAACTTCTTCATGAGATCCAAGGTACGTTGCGGCTATCATGTTCCACAACCCTCAGAACCTTGCCTTACGTGTTGGTCACCAACAATTCGCTACTGTGAAAAGACATAGCACAGGGACGGCTAGCTGATCAGCTAGACCAGCTTTTGTTCAAAGATATTTGCTGCGTTCACCAGTGCCTTGTCTGTCCATGGAATGCATCGTGCACAACTGGCCGGGCGGCTACCGGCTCCCGCCGCATGGCAATCCAGCACCAGAGTTGCTCCATCCTGATCCCTGACTGATCAACCGGGGAATACAATTTCTGGCTCACTTATCTGACCCATTCTGCACATCAGCTGCTCCACTGGTCTGTCCCGCAGGCCTTGACAGTAGCGCAGCAAAGAACAGCCGCTCTGACACTCAACCATTCTGCACATCAGCTGCTCCAGAGGTCTGTGCTCCAGGGCCTGTCAGTACCACAGTAGAGAACAGCTGCTTTGACAGGTTGAGGTGCAAATCACGTCCGCAACATGGCACAAACTCGCCACTGTTGGCCTTGCAATACGGGCTCCGTCCTGTATCAGGGCAGGGTAAAATGATACAGGCCCTGTGCCTATTGACTCACAAACGTGCTGCTCCACTGATTTATTTCCCGACAACAATACCCGCCTGGCTAGCGCTAGCAAAGAATTGCTGCTTCACCAGACAGCCATACAGGTCTCTTCTTTCCATCGACCTGATTTCTGTATCTCTTCGCCTGGATGTCTGTCATGGCAAGGGAAGTAGAGGAACAATAACATGCTTCCTACCACCTTTGCCGAGACAGACGCCATGCGCATTTCCGACACGGTTAAAGGGGGTGGGGGAAGGGGGAAGGGAGGAGTGCTCCAGGGAATGAACAGGACTCTGATGCAACATTCGGTAACCAAGCTCCTTGCACGCCGTCAAAAGAAGGGAGGTGATGGTTTGTGAGTGTGTGCCACTGCAACGGATATCCATAAATTTCTCTAACGTTATCTCCACCCGATTCACATGGCCACCCTTGACATGTCGGCCAAGTCGTCGGTCATAAGCATCAGGTTCTGAGTTCTAACTTCTAACTCATAACACTTAGCCTTGCCCGAGGGATGGACTGCCTTTCTTTGGAAACACGGCCAGGCAGCGTATATCTGGTGATGCGCATGGGAAAGCTTACAAAGTCCCCTCAATCTCTCCGTTGCCCCTGATCTCTCTCACCCGTGTGGAAAGATGCAA